ACTTAGGTAAGTGAGTGCCCTAGCATAATGTGTTATTTCTGTACCATGGTAAGTGACATTGCCATCCTCTTCCTTTATACGTCCAAGTACCTTCTTGACAGTAGGCAGTTCTTCAAATGGAATGGTTGTCATCTTATCGAGAGACTTCTTAGTCTTCATCATAGCCTCAATTGTGCCAACAACACAGACTGACAAATACATGTAGATGTATGTGTGCAAAAATGAGGAGCAGCATCTTGAAAGTGTGATACATCAGAGCAATGACCAATGTTTAGCAAAAGTATACCAATGAAAATCCTAAAGGAAGATGCTACTCTTGAAACTTTTATTCTACGTTGCACATATAATGTCATTATTATGGGGCACTGTTTGGAAACATTAATTCAGGCTTATGTAGCAAATGCACTTTATTTTGGAATATCCCCTTGGTTTTCTCAATTTCATGCTCCTTCTTTTTTGTCTTTGATTTTACAATTTTTTTCACCCTCTATTAGCCCACGCTTACAGTGATACCAACGAGGGATGTTATTACACCCAATCCATTTTCTGGATCATTATCATAAGCTGAACCACACTTTTCACAAATACCTTGATCTTCATCATCTGTTTGATCACTTTCATCTGTTTTTGCATATTTGTACCACCTCTAGATCTAGTATTATACTTCACCATTAAGATTTGGTAATTTTTCCTGAAATATGTCTTCATTTTTGGTGCTTGAAATCATAAAAACAGCTACATTTAAAGAAACTTATGTTCTCATTATTATCATGTGAAGTCACATATAAAAGGCTGCAATGACATTTGCACCACTGTCAGTAGTTCATACAACAGCACATTTGATGTCAAGTTCCCAGTTAGTCAGCATACCAGTGACATAGTCACTTAGTCAGCAATATTGTCACTAGTGTGATAAACAACAGACATTGCATCATTTACTCAAAAATCATCTATCGATTGTCTACATTTTTTGTGTAATTTGTTACATGTACATGTATCTACTTGTATCAGTCTTAGCTATTTTGTATTATTATCTTAAACTCATGAAGAAATTTACAAAAATAATTCTAAGTAAAGTTTTGAAAAAAACAACATTACTTGAGAAATAACAATTGTTCTAAATGATCACTTCTTATCCTTGTTCTTTTTTGACTAAGTAGTATACCCACTTTAGAAAAAAGACATTCAATGGGAGCAGAGCTTGATGGTATATATTGAGAATAGTTGAAGAGCGAGTTTACTAAGACTAGTTTCTGACCTTTGAGACCAAAAAGAAACTGGATCAGCATCTACTGTAGTACTTTTCAAGTAAGTTTGCAATTCAACATCACAATTAGGAGTTGTAGTGCTTTCACACTGAGAATAAAAGCTATATTCTAAGAGCTGTTTCTTCTTTTCAACAGCTACCGGTGTGGTCTGCGTAATAGATCCTGATAAACAAGGAGGAAGATATGACCTGATATGTTGTTTCGTAGATGAAAATTTATAATTTTTATTGTATTGTCAGTGTTATCAGCAAAAGTAAGTTTAATACGTGGATTCAGAGCTGTAGCACTGAGATGAATCTTAGAATCTAGTAGGTATGAGAATTAGTGTTGTAGGCCATTTAAAAGGGTCTCACAAAGAGCATTGATTGCTGCTGCTTCACTATTCATGCTCAATGGAGCATTTTCTAACAAATCAACAATTGGTATAATAGAACTGGATGTAGCATACTTTTCTGCTTGTAAGAGATAAGTAGCTTCAGCAAAATACTGCATTACGTGAACAACATTGGTCAGATTTTATTTTGTCTGTTTATGATAGTACCAAATGTTTCCAAGAGTACATAAGAGTGTTTGTGATTGACCTTATTATGAGCCTCATTGATATTATTGAAGTGTGTTAAAACATGCTCATGAAGACGCATGTGTGAGCTCCATCTGGTCTCATTTGAGACCGGTATTCTGGCTGATAAAGCATGATTGAGATGGCTTGATTTACAAGACAAGGCACAGATGGATTTAGCTTTATTAAATCCAGCTTGGACTCTTCTATAGGCCAATAATTCCTTGTATCTAATGTGAACAACTACATGTAACTGAAGTTTGTGAGCTGCACACCCTATCCAAGTATCAAAGTGAAGCTCATTAACTCAAGTTCCGGTGAATCACAGAGTTTAATATTCTCATCTTCTTCATCTTCATATATGTTGTCAGTGTCATCATTCTTAGTCTTGTGAAATGCACACTTCATATTAGCAGCATTGTCTGTTAGATGGAACCATTCAATAAATCAAGATGATCTTCAAACTTATTTCGAATATTTTCTGCCATATAAGGACCAGATAAAAGTGGGAGATGGAGCGGGAGCAGGAGTGGGAGTTGACAGATAAAAGCGGGAGACGGAGCGGGAGTTACGCTTTTACGGGAAGCTGGAATTGACGGAGACCAGCAAACAACCATAGCAGCATGTAGAAATTAATCATTATAGTACTATACTGACTGTTAGCTCTAAGTGCAAATGAAAAATTAATCATTATAGTCTGTAAGTTCAAAAACTACAGTAGATATTAGTTATTGCTATTATGGTTCAGTGTTTGAAATAAATCAAAGTAGATCAAGTCAGTCCTGATAAAAAAAATCTTTGTCTTTGAACAGGTCAAAATCTCAGTGAATTCTTAATGCCATCATAGTAATAAAGGTCACCTTTCCACATTATTGCTGCTGTTAGACAGTTATTTTTTACCATAGTGAATCTTTCAAAGCAATATTGAGTCTTGTAAATATTAAATATCCAGTTGTTGCAGTAGTGCTTAATATATTAAAGTCTTGATAACCTTTTATTGCAGAGATATTGAAAGAAATTATTCAAGGAGTGGTACTTGTAAAAAAGGAACTAGAGATAGGTGTTCCTCTGCATTCATAAACTCAGTGAAGTATTCTGATCAATGGTATCCATGAATTTTGTCCCCAGGCCTTATAGGAATGTGCTATACATCTGGAGACAGGATCTAATGAAAAATTATACAAATTTCCTTTTGAGTCATCTGAAGGACAAAACTTTGAGCCTCATCGTCTTTTTGATGAAGTCTCCACACGTGACAAAATGTAGGCAAAAAAACTATCATATTCTGTTCCATGGCAGCTAAATGTCCCATTGCAAGTGAGAGGAAGGTTATGCTGTGACATAGACCCAATCAAGCATGATGGATTTTATTACCTTGTATTAATTTTCCACTTAACATCACCAATAGACCAGATTTTAGTGCATTTTCTCCATCAGAAGATTGAAAGTAAATGAGAAACTGCCTTTCCTGGTGACAGTGCATCTAAGGCACATTATTTTCTGAGGTATACATGTCATTACTACTACTACATTGGCAACAAAATGCATAATGAATTTCTTACAAATCTGGTATTAAATGAGCCCGGGCTGTTGATCATCTACCTAGGGACATCAATTTACATAAATACCATACTGAATTTTTACTTTCTTCACAGAATGCAACATTAGCCAATTCATAAGATATTATTATCATTTTGAGAATGTGTCGAAACTATGTAAGCTACCTCATTACCAACAGAACCATTATCAAATCTCACTCAATCTGAGTGCTTCCTTTTTTAAATGTAATGCAGCTAGCAAGACATCATGGCTATATTCCTCCTCAGTCCTCCACTAAAAAATTGTGCTCAGGTGTCTTTCACAAAAAAACATTATATGACATGTTTCTTTGTAGCATGATACTCTACAGTGCAGCTGTGCAGGGCTGATATCATGATGTGTAGCCATGGGCAATAAAAATATTCAGCTAGTAAAAAGAATAAGATTTCTCATAAATGCATGCAGTATTTGTGCTCGTGTATTTGACAAATTTTGTAAACTGAGCTCCATTCATCAAAATCATGCATGCAGTGTTGTATTACTGAGCTCACAATTTTACTACTTTAAAATTGTAATACTATGGTAACTAGCTGTAATTTTTTGTAAATGCCAAAGTAACGAGAATCAGAACTAAAATTAGTTGTCAGAATTATAACTCAAAATAGAAATAACATTATTTTGGTGCCAAACATTCTCCGATTCTGTCCATCATCTCCCACTTTCCTGAACTACACGTTGCTATAGATCTATATCCGCATTCTTTTGTGGCATCTCCTGCTCCGTCTCCCACTTTTATCCGTCAACTCCCACTCCGTCTCCCACTTTTATCCGTCAACTCCCGCTCCGTCTCCTGCTTTTATCTGGTCTCTGCCATATGAAGGGGTTGAACTTCTTTAAAGAATAGCATATGGCTACACAACTTCTTTCAGTAGCAATGACATAATGAACTGTGCAGCCCATAAAACTCCTGCCATCTCTACCAGTCCAAAAATCAAGCGTACATGACAGATGGCTTGAAGGAGAGACCAGAAGTTTCCTTCAACATTTTATCCCTTTCTTCCTCATGCAAAATGTTTAGTTTCTTCTTGACTGCTACTCTTGATACAGGCTAGAACCATGGCTCAACATGATACATAAATATCTGAAACCACTATGTTTAGCTAATTGAATGGGAAGTCCACCTGTACCAACAAGATTCCTAGTCAGTAAATTAAGTACTGAATCTTGATTCCTAAATTCCCTTCTTCGCTTTGAGAGATGGTCATTACTGTTAATAGTGGCTTAGTCTTCAGGGAGCTGTCATTTACTGGTCTTGTGAGTCTCTAACAACTGACTGTGTGCATTCTGTAGGTGCTTTAAAAGATTACCTTAATTTCATTGATGGCATAAATTTATACGATTCGTGACATAGTTTACACTTAGCTTTGCAGTCCTTAAGACTTTTGGAGGAAGCAGGTAAGTCAAAAAACTTACTGTATGTCACAGAGACAGCCATTGTAGCATGTACTGCTAGATCAAGGGTGTGGTAAATTTATGAATTACCGTACTTCCTCAAATAGAAGCCACCCTTCGAATAGTAGCCGCATCCAAATAGTAGCCCCCCTCTGTGCTTGCACTATTGTAATAGTAACCGCCCTCTAATAGAAACCGCAGTTAATTAAAATTTAATTAATTAATGTGCCACGTGCACTGGTTTGAGTGCTCATTGTTGTTCTCCGGCAAGACCTATAGTTTCTCTCCTATTACTGGGTTCCATATTGCCTTGTAGACATGGTGGCCTCTGACAACACTATCAATTTCCATGCCTCCCAACGTTTAGCTCGAGTTTGCTCGATTTCTACACGATGGTGCGTACTTATGGTGAATGATAGGTGTGGTCACATGTTTGCTAGGAGAGAAATAGTAGCCGCCCTCGAATAGTAGCCCCTGTCAACTTGAGCTGAAATTTATAGTAGCCGTGGCTAGTAATCGAGGAAATACGGTAATCGTGTAATAGATTTACATCTTCATGTATCTACAGCTATCTACTTTCAAAGCAAAATGTCATGTATGTACTTGTGTATCGTGTATACACATGCAATGTCTGATAAGCAAACAAGGCAACAGTGTCATTTAAGACACTTCAATTTGAGACTCCATTCACCATCAATATGGTGGACAGTAAAAGTAAGTAATAATTATATGGTATAGACTCTTGTTCACAAATCTGTGGTTATACTAGAGTATTTTGTTTTCTTGAGCTGCTCCATTATGTCATTTCTTGCCTGTAGCTGGAGAGTGGATTCTTGAGATGAAAGTACTTTTCTGGTATTTTGGGTCAAGTTTCTCTATTATGTGTTGAAATTTTTGCTTTTCCACTGTATGCAATGGCTTAGCATCTTTGGCTAGGAAATATGTTATGGCACGAGTGAGATCTTTGGCTTACGGACTACCTTGAGAATATTGCCTGCCCTAGTAATCATTTCTCAAATGTTAGTTGTGTTTTTGAGTGCCACAGGGGTATTTAACTTAAAATAGAAGCAAAGAGCTCAGCATGATGGTCATGCTGATCTCAGCATAATCAATCAGCATAATTGATTGATCATGATTGATTATGCTGATCATGCTGATTGAGAGAGGTTAGACATGTTACCTCAAACAACTGCCCCACACTTACGAAAAAGTTTTTTGCTTCTCTATCACTTGCCTGTTCTCGTCAACTCTCAGATCCAAGCTTGCTATTTGTTTTTTTGCCTAGAGTCATACTGCCGACTGTCTCAATTGAAGGCAGCGAATAGCAAGTAGATAAACTAGAGAATGATACCATTTTGTGTCTGGTAAACTGTCATGTAGTACATTAACAATAGATGATAAATGTGCATAATGATAATCATTTTTTTGAAAAGGTAGTACAGTTTGATTAAGTATGACATTAATAATTGTAATTGTATTGTAAAACCGAATAATTGTGAAACACTACATCTGACTGATACAGTGTACATTATTTTATGTAATGCACTATATTCAACCTTTGAACACTTGTGGAAGTACAGGTAAGTAGCTACTCTGCAGTTCCTCTTCTTTTGCACAGGTAGTTTGTTGCACATGTGCAATGAGGAGCACATGTGGTCTGCAGCAGACAGTAGCTAGAAAGTTGAATGGAGTGAAGAACGTCCTAGACAGGCTTATAAAAGCAGCGAGTAGTAGTACAATTGGACTTGGACAACACAGACAGCCAAAAGAAGCATTTTAAAGTTTGAAACTTAAGTCCCAAATACTTGATCCCAACCCTGGTTTTAGCTTTAGCCTAGTGCTAGATTGTATTGGTGTTCACTACCTTCTATTTTATGGCCTACAATCTTTTCTATTGCCTAAAAATTAATGATAGAGTTTCCATTTAAAGTGGACATGGTATTAGTATTAGTCTTTTCTGAAATATCAAATGGTAGTTTGGTTAGGTATACTACCTATATGGCTTCCATTTACCAAACCAACTTTTGGTAATGGTAACATTAGCTGAGCCTCAGCAGACTGAGGGACTGCCCCACCAATTACAGTACCTGAGAATTATTTTTAAATTCAGTATTTATAATTATTATTTGCACAAAACTCAAAAGTTATAATTATCAATCTTATTCCAGGACAAAATAACAAGTAAATCGCAGAGTTTCAGACTGAAGTCTTATCTGACAAATAGATCTTCATGTAGTATTCCTCATTCTTTTTTAGAAGAACTTCTTTTTCTAAGTTATCTTTTGCAAGTCGATTTCTGCGACCAGAAGTAGCAATGCCAGCTGTAGAAAATGTACGCTCTACAGGAGCAGATGAAGAAGGAGCAGCAAGGATATCAATAGCAAATGGGGCCAAGAATGTGTAGGACTCTTTAGACTGAATCCAAAACAATATCGGATCACTGTCAGGATCGTACCTGGTCCTAGCAGTAGTGTGTATATAAGAATCGAGCTGCAGCTCTGGTAAATTAGGTTGCCTCTTAGCTACCTCTTTTTTTTCAGTAGCTTTCTTATCCATTATATCAAATACATATCGAAACTGTTTATTAGCAGGTTCATCATCACTCTCAGAAGCTTCAAGGACTGAAGGAACAGGTTGAGAACTACTAGCAGCATTTTTACTGTCAGATTCATAATCTCCATTGCAAAGAAGCTTTATGCATTCTTTTCGGGCATACGCAATATGTTCCTTTTCTAAAAGGTTCTTAAAGCGTGGATCAAGTAACGTTGCCACCATGTACAGTGAGTTATGATTTTCATGGGCCGGGTCAAGTAAGTTAGAAAAACGTCTTTCCAGTTCAAGTGCCATTATTTTTGATACAGATTGCAATTTATCTATCTTCATCATGTCTTTTAGATGATGTTGCAATTCAATGTAGTAAGGTATAACTAGAGACAAAGTTGTATATTGCTCACCTCCTACTACATTTGTGTAGTTGGCAAATTTATAAAGGAGGGTTCTCACATTCTTAAGAACTTCCCAGTCCTGCGGCTGAAGCATTGTTAAATTATGATTTAAAAGTACAATCTTCAGAGGCTCCTTTACTTCTAATAGTCTATCAATGACTAAATACGCACTGGTCCACCTCGTGACACTGCGTGAAACTAATTTCTTGCCAGCTGCAGATATCAGTGCCTCTGTCACCTTCCCAGACTGTGATACTTGTTGCACAACTTTATATGCTGTGGAAAGTAGTTCTTTAGATGCACTGTCTTTGTTAAATGACGAAACCACAAGTTGCAGGGTGTGGCTAAAGCAACTTAATCTTTGTAGCCCTTGTTGTCTAAAAACACTTCCATGCCTTGCTTCGTGGCTATCGAAATCTGCCACTTCTTTGTCTCGATCATCTCCTAACTCCTCCTCTTCCTCCTCCTCCTCTTCATCCTCATTATGTTCCACCTCTAGCTCAACCTCTGCAGTAAAATCACGAATATTTTGATGCTTAGACGCAGCAACATCCGATTTGAAGGCTTTAACCATATTACTGCCATTATCAGTGATTATATATTGTATCTTCGAAGAAGGTATCTGCCATTCCTCAATTATTTGATACGTGAGATTGCATATGGCGTCACCTAAAATTAAAAAGTAAAAGATATAGTAATGCTGTAAAACATGAGTGTCAAAAATAAAGCATAATTATATTGTATTTACTTCATATATGCATACTAAAGTCTATTCAGTTTCACCTGACCTATTGATTATTTGTTATAATTTTTGAAAAACATGGGAATTTATAAACTTTGTTTGCACCATTAGAATGTGACGTAATTTATTAATTGAAAAAAGCCAGGGGTCAGGTGAAAGTGAAGACTTTAAATGGCAAAAAACTTGACAAATATCAAGTCTCTGATATTTTATTGAAGAGGATACTGTGAAAATACAACAGTCCAGTATATAGGATGTGAGAAATTTTTTTTTGCTAAAAGAATAACAGTCAATATCCTTTAGTGTCAACTGTCAAGACAGTTCTTAACAATGGGGTGTTAATTTACAACTATTTGTTAGAAATACAGTGTTACAAACCTGTATGTGGATGAGGCAATTCCCTAACTGCCAGAGTGGCATGTTTAATTTTAAAAGTAACGGGACAGTAAAAATGAGCCGTCAAACCCAGATACGAAGACGTCAATCCTTTTTTGGACCATATATCGGCGCAGAAATTAATTTTTCTGGCAGTAGCCATAGAAAGCTGAATTTGCGATTTCATTGTTGCTACGATATCATCAATTAGTGACATTAAACGAGTGCGCCCAGGAATACGATATCTGAAGTCCAATGCACGTATCATTCTCTGAAAATGTACATTAGAGGTGATGCTATAAGGTACATTAGTTGCACCAACAAAGACAGCTACAGTGTTATCTATCAACTTCTGTGACTTATCATATTCATTGTATTTTACTGAATCCGGCACAAATAAGGTGTTCATATCAATGCTCCATCTTTTCTTTTTTTTATCAGATGGTCGAATTGCATCTAACACCTTCCTTTCTTGTCGCTTCTTCTTATTTGCCGTTTCTTCAGCCATTACAGCATTATAAATGCTTGGATGACTATTTCTTAAATGACTCTTTAATGTGTTAATATGAGTACCTAAATTAAAAAAATTATAATTAAATTTACTGATGCCTCATCCACATGCACTTGGACTAATTATATACTGTTACTACTGGATATACCTTTTCTCTCTCCACAAATCTGACCACCAAGTTCAGGCTTTGGCACGTTACATATAGCTACAGTCGTGTCCTTTTCTTTGTCTTCTTGTTTAACAAAGTACCGCCACACTGGACTTCTGCCTGCAATGAGAGGCGTAGTGAAACTCGAGCCACTAGCCTGGCCGCTGAGGCCTGTGAGTTGAGACAAAGAACAAGATTCGTCCGTTGAGGAAACAGGCGTTGCAGAACGAGATGGGAACCATGGAGTGCCGGGGGAGTGCGGTGTGGAGGTACTCACGTAACGTCCGCGTTGGCCTAGAGGTGAAAGAAGCCCCTGTCCTGAACTGAATGACATTTGTACAGTGGAGATATGGCCTCGGGATAAAGATGCAGCTGCCAAATATTCACCCTGCTTAATTGCTTGCTGGCCCTCGTGACTACTGACTCGTGCAGGATCAGTCCTTGCGCATGCGCAAAAAATTGGGTGGGACATGGGGCGGACCTTAAGCTTAGCTACTATCTAGGAGTAATCCACTGATCACGATTGGTATCTACAAATTGAGGTTTACATTACCAAAAACTGGTTTGGTAAAACAAAATGGATGTTTCAAATACCAACAATTGGTTTGGTAAGACACAATGGTGATGCATCAGAACTACTTAAAAGTTACTGATTAAAGTATTGGAAGGCACTGCAGCAGCAAAGACTAATTAGTATTGCACAGTCAAAATGAAGCTATAATTTGGTTTGAATACGATATAACATTCGCTGCATTTATCAATTGTAGTGTACTATTACAAATTCATTATTATTGTAACATAGCTTGGAGTGATGTATGTAATTTAAAGTCACCAATCCAGAGAGTCCGTGTGTCCAAGGGAGAGGTAACTGTATCTTGCTGAGTATGCAAGCTCTCACTACTACAGCCTTGTGACTAGGTGAGACCATAATAATCAGCGTAATGTAGCAAAATGAAACGCCCACCTACAAGTTCTTTTTTGATTAACATTATTATCTTTTAATAACCAGTTCACTTTTTGAGACTAATGTTAAAGGTGCATTCTTTCATTCCTTGAAAGTTTAGCTGCTTCAGAACATCTCCAGTGTCACTCTTGCAAACATTTATACTTTACTAATGGGTTATTAAGCGTAGGCGCTTATGCAGAAAATGACAGAAAAACGGGTGCTTAATAATGACTCAGCGCTTGATAAATACAGCAGGTGTAGTTTACAATAATAATTAATTAATCACTTTACTGGCTTTACAGTGGCGGGTGGTGAAGAATGATCTTTTGACAGTCTGGTTCATGGCCACAACACTTATAAAAAGTGTCTGGACTCCTACTGCTTGTACTCCTACTGTTTTGTACTGCGCTTAACAAACCCATGCTAAGAGCTACATTGAGCTAGGCACCTAATAAGAAATAGTCACTTAACAACGAAGGGCGCTTAATAACCCGTTAGTATGGTACCTCCTTTAAAATTGATATGATTTAGAAATGGAGTATTCTAGAACTAACCAGATGAGCTATGTTTCAAATCATCATTTTACCATCATTACTCATACCATCTAAAGTTAAAAATAATTATAGTTGTTTAAATTAGTAACTAACCAGTTTGCTCTTTTCCTGAATCTGGAAAATCTCTTGGTACAGGAACTATTGATGCCATTGCGCCATACATTTCCTATATTTGATAATTGGCAGTGCACTCATGCACTTTAAGTCCTACCTTTTTTAAGTGTCCCGACTCCCGAATGCTCTATTATCATTTTTGGGTATGTGAGCTTGATATAATCATGAAATTGATGTTGCTCTTAGATTGTGGTTTGTTTTTTCCTCCATTGAGACACCATCCTTTTGACAAAGTTCCTTTAGCTTGCAATCCAGTGTATTATGTCCTACTAGTGCAGTTGTATGCCAGGGACCATCATCCTTAAATATTGTTAGAGGACGACAATAAAATATATCTTTCTCCTTTAATTCCTCATGAAGTTTCAATATATATAATTTTAGTAAATACACATGAAAGCATGATCCTAAGTATGGTTGTGAATAATGACAGACAGTCTTATTTGTAAGGTTTAGTTGCTTTGAGCCTCTAGGGCAATTCTTTGAACTACTCTCTGTGTATTCCACATATTTAGATCCATCACTGTCATTACCAAATGAGAGTTGTGACAATGACAAGTTACCGTCTGGATCTGCCTCTTAAGATGAAATTAATGTCATTATGATTTTTAAAACTGTATTTAGGATCACTAGAGCAAGCACCTCATTGCTCCACAACTGCTCCTCTTCCTCTGTTGTAATCACTTCAGACTGTGCACATTTTATCCCAATACCCCTTTTGTGTAGATCTTTGTACAAATTATTTAATAGTTGGTGAAGTTCCTTCATTTCTTGTATTTGTGGGGCATTAGGATATCTTGATTCGTCATGACATTGTAAGCTAGATAGTATACAGTGAAGGCTTTGGCAATACTCTGTGCCATCAGCTTTTTTACTTCTGAGAAAAAAATCACACAGCCAATTGCTGATTTTGTTACTACTCTCATGCTTAAATGTCATCTAGAGAGGCTTTACCATCTTTATTGTCTCTTCTCCATTCTTTCCAGTCCTTTTTTAGTATTCTTCGGAGCAAATTTGAGCTTTAGCTTTTCCAATTGAGGCAAAGTTACATTAGATGAAAAACAGGTACTTGTCACTTCCTCTTTGTTTGTGCCTTCAAAGACAGCTTTCTTCTTTTTGGTGTTTCCATTTGATTGCATGAGGTTATTACATCATATATGCAAATCTTGCATGCTACATGTATGTCCATGAATAACATTACAGATAGCCTACCCCAATGAATCTCATTATTATCATCATAACATAGTCAGTTTCAGCAGTTGAGTTTGACAGAAAATTTTCATCATGAAAACGTCATGTGTAGCCCTGCCCACATATGCAAATAAAATGGCTGAAACTTCAATGTGCTCTCTTTTTCTTCCTCTAACTCCTTGAGTTTTTAGTTTTGGGTGCTATTTTCTCTACATCTTACCTACAGGATCTTTGTCCTTGTTATTACTTGAGAAAGGGATCAAGAAATGCAAGCTTACAATGGATTTTCTGAGCGGTAAGAAGTGACAGCAGTTGAGAGGTAAAGCAGATGAGCTGAGGCTTCTTTCTGGAGTGCAAGACCTTGTGAAATATCTTTTAGTCTGGAGCGTTACTTTTGCTTTATATTATTTTTAAACAAATAAAACATGATTTTGACAAATGTAATGAGATGCAAATGATCATTCATGAGCATAATACGCAATGCAACATCATTGTGGCTTTTTTGATGGAGACTGGAAAACCTGCTGATAATTACCTTCCAGAGTACCCAGAGATTCCAAAATCAATCCAGATATACAGAAGAACCTGTTATGCAACTATACCAAGTTTCAAGTTGCTAGCATTAATAACAAAAGTTATTAAGGTGTTTCACCTGTCAAACTCAACTGAAACCAACTATACATATAGTGAAGTAGCTGCTTTGTGGTTAGGTGTACATGGCTTATATACCACCTGGTGGTTCTTTTGATCTAGCAACTACAGTATAGTACATTATGTATCTCCAGAGCTGCATGGATTGTCTTTTTGTTTGCCAAACTTCAGTTCATCGATCTCAACGATTGATCATGGGCCACCTATGGTCATTGGACGGTCAATCAAATATTAAGCATAAAGGTCTCTAAGGATGTTAAACCAATTGATGATTGTATGCTCTGAATGCCCTGTTTCATTTATAGTTACATGAATTGTTGATTTCCTGGACCACCAATACATCCAAGATTTTATGGGCATAGTAGACAGCAGGAGATGACAAGACTCCTTCATCACTACTCATCACTATGGTAACGAACATCATTAAATTTAAGTATTTAAATGACTGCCAGTTCATTGCAATATTTACATCATGAATAAATAATGCAGTTACAATATGGACACATCACATAAAAAGTGCATGTATGGTTGACATCAAAGTAGGGCTTAAATGTTTCCCAAAATGATTATTGAGCAATGTTATTGCCTGCAACTGAAGATGTAGAAAGGAGGTTGAGGGAAAAACAGAAGAAGTAAAAATGTTAAGAGGGGTAGAGTATGCTTGAGACTGAGTTAGATTATTCAGTGCAAGAAGCATTAAACGAGACATAGTTGAGTATGTTAAATGCTTCAGAAGGAGAAAACAAAGATAAGAGATTAAGGAAAAAGGGAGTTATCATGTAACTCTACTGAGAGGTAGTAAATATAGGGATTGCAGTCTTTAGACTTATAATTTGAGACGTAATCTACTAGTACCCATTCAGAAGCTCTTCTTTACACAGCCTCAACCATTTTAATAATGTTTAATAGATGGAGCCTCTAGATTTGACAGCTGTACATGTATGTCAACTGAGACCTTGTTAAAGTATAAAACAATTTCATGAAAAGTGGCCAAAAGAAAATTCTGCATTTTTATTTTTACATAATTATACAAGTTCTTATGTTGTGCATCAACTTTGAGCTGATTCTGATCAACTTTTGATTTCTTATAAATTTTTTTGGTTGCTCAAAAATCTAATGAAATTTTATCAAAAATGAAAAGGAAAAATTCTCAATTGTTATTTTTATTGTACAATTATACATGTACATGAAATCTTGCTCAGAGTACAATTGAATCTACTTTTTGTGTTTTCTTACTCTTTTTAATTTTATGTATTAATAGGCTGATCGTAAATGTCCACAATGTGGTAATGATGAAATGACATATACTACTCAACAAACTCGCTCAGCTGATGAAGGGCAAACAGTTTTTTATACATGTCCTAAGTGCAAGTAAATTTGATATTGTTTGAACTTCTCATATAATTATTTTAGGTTTAAGGAGACTGAAAACTCTTAGCATTGGGATACTTTTCTGTATTTTTTGTTTCAGTCATGTTATTGTGTGAACTAAGAATAACTCTTAATTGATGTTTAGATTTCAAATAGAATACCATACTAGACGAATGTAAAACATTGAAGGGGCGAGCCTAAGCAAGTAAAGCAATGTACATACAATAGATATTGACAGACTAACAATACTCATGACAGTGCAACTTAAGCAGCTCAGAACTTGATTGAGTGCAGTGTAGTTCTTGACCTACCTTTGTAATCAATTTAAATCAAATCAAGTTTAGCATTTGGAAAGCATTAAAGATAGCTAGAAACAGTCACTACACAAATGATATGGCTAGATAGGCAACTGTAGCAATGTAGTCCAAATTAGTTCAGGCTGTGACAGACTTCAAAGTCATTCACATCAATAAAGATGGCATATCTGCTTTCTTGACATTCCTTGCAGCATTTGGACAGTAGTATGCAAGTACAGTAAGTTGAGTTATCAGCAAAAACAAGTTTCATAGTTACTTTATTGCATCTATAACCTTGCCTGGCTGTTGGAGAAGCATAAATTAAACATAGATTAAACCATAGATTGAACAGACAGACAGACATACATACATACGTGTCTCGTTTATGTGGGGCTCGCTCAGGCTTGCCCCAACAAGATGATATATTGGTGGGAGAAATATTTGGTGAATTTGCCTGCAGAAAGAAATTGGCAGATTTTATTTTGGTGATTTTGTGCCATGTACCGTTGTAGATACTCAGATTGAAACAAAATGGCAGATTTTATAGTGGTGATTTCTTCATAGAACCGCCAATTGCCAATATTAATTCCTCGTCAATAAATTGTCTTGTATAATAATTGCAGGAATTTCAAAACTGTTAAATTGAAAAAATAGTGAAATACCACACCATGCCATTATGTGCCAGAAGAATTAGCCCAAACTAAAAAATATACATCTTGCACTTATTCACAAAAAATGAAGATAATATTGCCAGTTTTTCAGAGTGTCAACAAAGTGCCTTGTATCTGTGTAAAGTTGTATTGTGTAGGCTGATTGCAAATGATGCAACTTAAATTTGGGCAACGCTTTCATGTTATTTTAACATAAATGCACAAAACAAAATGTGATAAGTAACTTGTACTAAGTTAGTTAACTGTTCATGAAATCTAGTCTTAACAAAACTGAGAAATCCAAGAATGACAATAAAGAAAAACACCAAGTCCTTTCTACACTGATATAGTACTACTCTATAGATCTATAATCATTTCATTTACTCTTATTGGCAGCACCATATTGATTCAGATCTTCATTGTAACTTTAAATCTGACTGACTTCAGCTTCATGCTTTCTTCATCAAATCTAGATATACAGCATCTTTTTATCCACTGAGCAATTTCACATGCAATGCCTTAAGTATCCAACCCAAACTGATAAGCAGAGGTAAATTTACTAGTATCAACTGGAAATACCAGTAATATATACAGTACATTTACTTCTCTGGTATAATGTTTGTTTAATAATGTTTTAGGTGTAATATTTATGGAATAACCAGAAAGAGTGCAACTTGTCCTTAAAACAGATGTGATATGATCACCTTTCATGCTCATAGACATAACTAATCTTGCTGATGTCCTTGAAAAGTTACAGTAGATTGATTACACTGAATGGAAACATTGGGTCTCTTCTTATTCTAAGGACTCAACTTCAATACACTGGGAGCAATTGATGAAAAATGTAGAGGAGATGTAGACTAGAGATGTTAAAAAATGTCTATTGGAGTGCATGGCTGCCCGGTCAAAAGGAGAAGATAAGGTGCAAAAAGGAGGTTCCAGTTGGACATCCTTAGCTACAGCACTGAAAAAAGTCTGAGCAAATGACATTGCTAAAAATGTTCAACCAAAGTAGCGATATTTTAGGCCATTTTGTTTATTATTTTTAGATTATTATTTTTTTTAGCATTAATTGTAGCATTAGAGTATTTTTTATTTTGTAGTTAGCTTTGTAAAATTGCCTGAGTGCCTTGTTTTGTAATAAATTAAAATTTTTATGTGAGTGTAAAATTTTGCGATTATTATTGCCACTTTCATGTAAACTATTATACTGGAGTAGAGAAACTAATATAGACACTTATTATGTTAGCTCTAAATCCCAAAATTAGCAAAAATAGAAATTTCGAACTGTGCATATTATGTTTTTATGCATAATAGATCTAGTAATCAAACATTTTTAAACATAAACTAGATATTATTCTTGAATAGTCTGTACCCAGCACTCCCAGCACATACCAGTACCTTATTTTGGAATCCAAAAGCTGATAATGCTCTTTCTAGACTAGTCAATGAAAAGTATAGATGTTATAGTTTACACAAAATAGCAAGACTCTTCAACTGAGATGGAACTGGTGGGACATTATTGTTCCATGTATCAATTATAATGTAGATCTATTATTATATTTCAAGGAAGGCATTATATAATTTTTAAAAAATTTTTCTCGACTCATGATTCACAACAATACATTCTGGGGTGCATAAAAAATTACACTGTTTCAATGTTTCTTCCTATGTATAGATAGAGATCACTAATGTATATAGGTACACAAATGTTTTCCAATAGTGATATGGGGAACAAAGAGTGTAGTTTCATTGTTACATTCATCCTAAACTATATAGGGGGTCAAACAGTGTAGGAATGCATGTAATCTTCTGAAGAAACTTCGATAGAATTGTTTGTTTGGAGTGCACATGCATGCATACAAAACTGTGGAAGCCAAAGCTGGACTCAGTCTATCAAAGGTCTGACTAAAAAGACATTATTTGTAAGCTTACTGATATTCCTTTCAAAGAAAAAACATTGAATCAGGCATTGCTGAATATCTATTCATGCTTTTATGATGGCAAGAATTTTGAAACTTTAAAAAATCATAAATCTGCGGAAAACTACTACTTTCCCAGCAAATGTAATGTAGCTGGAGTGTCTATTCAGTTCACTAGGAAAAAATTGAATCAGTCAATGCAAGTCATAAAAGATGGAGCTTCACTGAATAAAACTGAATAATGTTGCTTGCTTATAGACTATTGGAACTATTCACTTTGACAATACTTGTTGCACCAAAATTTTTATGAAAGGTCTGGTCTGGCCAGCAAGACTAGCTATTTGGTATCTTGCAAGAACATACATTTGTTAAAACTGCAGTGTTGCATGAGTTGTTGAGACGAAATTGTAGGCCATTACTATAGCCTCCAAGCATACTCAAAATACATGCCACGAACTTATTGCTAGTTATTTAGAGATACATAGAAACTGCAGTTTTGTCAAAGCTATATATATTCATCAAATATGAAGTCTCTAAATTTGTATATAGCTGATAAAATAAGTGGAATATAATTATTTATCATTAATACTGATTTTGATGCATAGATAATATTGAAGCAGTTAAGTCATGTCTTTTCTAATAATTCAGCATCACTTTTTTGTTTCTGTAGAAACAAAAATAATTAAAAGCACTAGATAGCTAATTATCTCACAGCTATCATCACTTCTTCTTCTGTTGGAACTGTCTGAAAATATTTATCTCTAAGTAACTCTATAACTTCTGTATGCTCAGCTACTGCAGCAACAAGCATTGCAGAATCACCATCCTGTATAAAACATTGATTTATTAAATATTCTTAAAAGCAATCAGTGCCTTTGATAATATTGAAGGGTCTGCGCCATAATTATCAACTAAAAATTCAACTACGTAAGCATGTCCAAGATGAGCAGCAAAATGAACTGGGCAGGCACCCTCCTGTAATAGCAATAATATCATTGTCTATACAGTTTTGATTGTATACATCACGTACTTTAATGGTAGCTGCATTAGGAGATACTCCATAGACTTCAATAAGTACTTGAATAATTTCTAATTGGCCTGCCAGAGCTGCATAATGAATTGGCTCAATGTATTCCTGAAATAAAAAACAACTGTGTCTTAAATTGAACAAGAGATACCAATGCATGATATCTAAGGACTAGAGTGAACCAATTGTCAGTCACTAGTTAAGGAAGCTAGAATTACAAAGTGCTATAATAGCTTTAGGCAGTCTTGAGGCTGTACTTTTGCTGCTCTATAGCTGCTTACCAGAAATAAATTTTTAGCCAAACAACAGGATCTCATTTAAAGAAGGGTTTAGCTTTTAAAGCCATAAGCAGGCTAGTGGTAGTCTCACAAGCCAGACCATTCTCCAGCCCAGCCCAATGACTGTAGGCTGGGGAATAGTCTGGCTTGCAAGACTAGGCTAGTGGATGGTGCTAACGATTATGATGCATGGTTGATTGCCACATGTATACTATAAACAATGCAAAACCATAAATGTGGCACCATGCAGGCATGAAATGGGAAACAATGAATCAACTTGCAAAAGGCCTAGTCTATTTGACCTACATGTTATGGCTTTAAAATATTTATAGCTTTTTTTGGCTCATGTTGATATGAAATGGTGCATGGCTTAATACAACTTACAGTAGTAGCTTTTTCTCTTGGGTCAACTCCAAATTTGTCAATCAAAGTTCTTAATAGCTCTATGTGTCCACCAACTGCAGCACTATGTATTGGTTGCATTCCAGTTGACTATGGAAAGTGTAAATTTAGTATAATTGTAAATATTGTCTATACTTTTGGTGTTGCTTTTGGATCAGCCTTGTGTTCAGTTATATAATGTACAACCAAATTAGTGAGGCCATAAGCAGCAGCACAATTAATTGGCTGCAAATCATCATCATTCTTAAAATTATCATATAATAACTAAATAATCAGCAGTTAAAACATACCCTTGCACTTGGATCAGCATGGTAATTTTTCACAAAAAGATCAAAAATTTCTTTACTCTTTGTTAAATGTATTGGTTGATCTCCAAACTTTCAAAGCTAATGATAAGTCACCACATTATAAAACATGTATACTTTTGTAGTTGCTTTCGGATCAACCCCATAAACTTCAACAAGTAAGCGTATCACATTCTCTTGATTTTTAAAACTTGCATTGTGTATTGGTTGAAAACCACTCTGAAAAATAATTTGACAATAATTACTTAATCTGCTCTTATGCTACATGAGTAACTGCGTCAGGCTTTTGATTGAATTCGTTTATAAGCATTATGACAATATCACTGTGACCCTCTTGAGCAGCATGATGAATTGGTTGCAGTCCATTCTACATAATTAAAATAAAAGATGTTATTTTGTTTAGCAATTGAAATATAAACTTTAGCTTCAGATGAAGGGTCAACTCCATAATTTTCAATAAGACACTTCACAACATTAAGTTTTCCTTGCAGTGCAGCAGAATGAATGGGGCAGTCTCCTTCCTGAATTTTTTGAAATGAAAACATGAAAATAGAATTCTTGTAGTCAAATTTAAGCTTACAATTTTTCTAGAATTAGGATTCACATTATACTTGCTTATCAACAAATGGACAATTGACAAAGATCCATATTCAGCTGCAACATGAATAGGTTGAGATCCACTCTATTGAAGTCAAGTACTATGCATGGAATACTGTACTTACTGGAGTTGCTACATGAGGATTTGCTCCATACTTTTCACACAGAGAGTCTAAAAGTTTATCATGTCCATATTGAGCACAAATATGAAGTATCGTTAAGCCAGACTACAAATATTTTTTAAAACTATGCAACTAATCTTATTAATTTTACATCATCTTCAACCAGAGGATTGACTCCATAATTTTCAATCAGCTCAAATACTAATTCTTTATGACCTTCTGATGCTGCAATATGTATAGGTTGTGATGGCTAAAAACAAATGTATACTATATCTGATACTAATATAATCTATACTTCATCGGTATTAGTGAAAGCTGTAGGACTGCATCCTAAGGTAATGAGAGTTTTAAAACTCCTTATGTGTCCTTTAAGTGCTGCAAAATGAACTGGATTATATCCATCCTTCATGTACATAATACTGCAATTTAAACAAAATAGCAAGACTGCAAGAAGACTAACATTTGTATATGGTTCTAAAGGAGCTTTGCAATCTTTTTTTTAATAGTCTATGACAGGGATATGATTATTTAGTGCAGCAATATGGAGAGAATGAAAGCCAAGCTAAATGATTTAGGGAAATAATAATAAAAATATACAATGAAGTACTTTATTTGGTGTATCAGGAGGAACTTCATACTTTTCAACTAGTGCCTTGACTATATGAAGATGTCCAGCAGCTGTAGCAATATGAATGGGGTGATTACCTTCCTGTTACAACATAATAGTAGAGATTATTAAAACTAATCTATTCTTACATGGTCAGGCAGATTGGGGTCAATTTTTCTTATCTCAATCACTTCACTGATAGTGTCTAATTCACCGTAAAAACTAGCCCTATGAATTAAACTCTCTGGTGATTCAGACTTGTCAGATGAAACTTTTGGAAGAAGTGCAAGAGATTCCTATAATAATGTCTGGTGTTTTATAGTTAATTGTATAGTTAACTGACATGTGCTATGCCTGAGAATATTTCTTTGAAAGTGCCAGCTGGCTACTCAATAAACCTCATCATAAAAACATAACTATTAATAATATACACCTTTTGTAACTGCAAGAATCCCATGTCAATAGAACACCCATAATTCTGAGTTAATAACTCTAATACTTCCAATTTCTTTCCAAATTGAGCCAACTGCACGGGTGTTAGTCCTTCCTAAATATTGAAAATCAAAAGTTTACAGTTTACTGAAAAAAAATTGAACCTTATTCTTAGAATTGGGGTCGACAAAAAAGTTCTCAACCAACATAACTATCACTTCTACTTGTCCATTCATCGTAGCAAAATGTATTGGCTGTGTTCCATTCTATAAATTATTATAATAAACAGTATAGCTCTGTTATCTTTACCTCAGCTTCACAATTAGGATCAGCATGAAATTCTTTTATAAGTAATTCAACAACATCGACTTGTCCATGTTGGCATGCAAAGTGTATAGCTTGAAGTTTTGACTGTATGATTAATAGGAACCATTTTCATATAAATAAAAAATAGCCACCATTATAATACATATAAAGGCATTGTTATCACTGATAATGTTAATTTATGCTTAACTATAATTATTTTCCTAAGCACTTATTGTGTTATTATAACTATGATTTTTACTGATTATTATTTCTGTACTTATTTATTTTTACTTCTTATGTAAGGTTATATAATGCATGCAATGTTGATTACTAGTGTTATGTAATGTTATGCAATATGTGTTTGTGATGCATTACGATGTAAATGTAATTGATGTGTGTATATTTAAGTATGTGCATTTTTTAGATTTAAGAAGGTTTTACCTTATTGATAAGATCATTCATTGATTCCCACAAGGCCCCTCTTTACCTTTCCTTCTCAGTCACTACAGGCATTGTGTTTACAAAACATACTGGCAAAAGCTAGATTTCTAAGTACATAAAAAGCCCTTAATGAATCAGTAAAAATTTAAGTTGTTTTAGGTCACTTTGTGGTTAAGTTTAAACCCAACATGCACTACATGTAGCATGTTTTGGCAGCCTCAATTGATTTAACCTTGTTGAAAGAATAACATTTTCTATTCAAGAAGTTTCCTACTCATTAGTCTTTTCATATGTACACATATGAACTTGGAAAACCTGTCCTTTCTGCAATTGTGTTATTTTTTCAAAGGCACCCTTCATTTATGCATACGTACAACTAGCAGCAGTAGCATGTAATGAGTTGTTTGTATAGTTAGGAAATGTAGCATCAAGAGGCTTGCATAATTTAAAAACTTACGACATCATTTAATGTATTAAGGCCTAAAAATAGATTGACAAATCAGGACTTATTAGGAGCATTTGGAGCTCTATCTAAGGGTCAAAGATAAAAGGCATTTGGGTTTCGTGGCACCCTTCTTTTGTAACAATCCAAGTTTCAAGTTTCAACTATATGAACTTTTCAAACCTAACATTAAAATAAGCTTTTACATAGTCAGGCCCCGCCTCATTGTTGCACAGGGTGGCAACCCCCTGAGAAACAAAGAAGTGGGGCCAGGCTAACTTTTATATTGTCAGTAACTATATCACTGCATATCACATTTTGTTATTCAGCTCCATGATGCACAATTCAGTTTAATAACAAGAGTTAGTCTTCACTGTGCAAGACTTGATAATTTGGAATTAAAGACACACCTCTATAAGGACATTTGATTTTTACTAAGAGCTAATGGGTACATTTGTAATTGTTGTTAAAGTTAAAATATATAAAGTTGCAAAATTTAATTAAAAATTGAGGAGTGTCTTCAGTTGCAAATTAAAAAGTCAAACACAGTGAAGATTAAGTTATCTTCTTAAATAAAATTTACTGAGCTGAAAGACTGAGCCTTTTAATTTATCCATTGCTGAAAGAATATAAAATGACAAAAGATGCAGTTTCTGTGAACATGCAGTTGTTACTAATAAATTATTATAAAATCACAGCAAAGACAGAGCTTAACTCATGAAAGCTGCTAAAGCTGTAGAAGCAACCATTGTAATCATTAGGTTCTAATTACTCAACTGTGAGAAAATTGTATGAACATCAGTGCTTTATTCTACAGAACTTAGTAATAATACAAATTCAATACCGATCAGTTTCATACTGTAATATACAGCCTATAGACCACCCAGAGTGAGGATTACAAAAGCTATGAATTTCATTAATATTTTATATAAGGCACTGCCCACAAGCTGTAATTGGCAGCCATTTCAATTGGCAAATTTGTTAAGGAAGTCAATCATAGGCGGTTGCAGACTCGAAATAAGGCACGGGCTAGAAAGTAAAGGGGCACACAAAGCGCGCCGCAATTTTGACCACACCCCCTTTTTACGTTAATAAAACGGTGTTTTCCTTGATTTTCGTGAATTACGGGTGTGGTCAAGATAGTTTCAAGCATACTGGTACTTCTGACAACTTCTCATGGCTTCTTAAAGCACTGGAAACTGCTGAAATTATGATCAGGGGGTTAGATAACTCTGTTAAGAGACTTGGTAGTGATGCAAGAGTCCAGGATTTGTGTAATTTGACAACTTGAGTAATTGAGCAACCAAAATTAACCCAGGCACAGCCCGGGCCTGGAACCACCTATGAAGTCAATGGAGGCACGAAGAAAATGCCTCACTTACCTGCTATAACTCTATCAAAAGCTAAAAAGTGCTTGTTATAAGACAAAATAGCTATACCTTTAAGTTTCCCGGTAATAAATTTGGTCAAATTTGCTCCAAAATTCTTAATACAAGTTTGTTTTTATGTTGGCCTGTTTGTTCTCCATTGAAAGTTACCAACCAAAATGGCAACCAGAATTTATAGACCTCTCGAGGTGAAAATGAACTACGTCACAAGAGTAAATACGGCAATGGGTGTGGTGGAGAAGGAAATAAATTCCATGGACAGCAACTTTCTATGGTGAACCAATGAGCAAAAGCAGAAAGCAAGCTATAGTAAAGAATCTACTGCATATTGCACCAAATCTGTTTTATGAGATGCTTGGTAGCACCCATTCTTTCTTCCAACCAACTTTTGTAGCTTGAAAGAGCTCCAGACCTCCTAGACAAATCATTTTTATAGTTTACTCCATTCCTTCTTCATTGAATCTTGCCGTCCAAAATGGCAGCCAATTATTATGTGTAGGTGGATACCATATCTTAAAATAATGATATTCATACACCTAGTTCGAGAGGTCTATTTCATACTAAACCATGCCGCCTTATTTCCATAATAATCTTCCCACGCAAGCAATTCTCACTCTGGGTGGTCTATATGAGGACAATCACATAAACTAACCATTGCCTGCGCTGTTATATCAACACCAGAAAGACTACCAAGATACTTGACAATGTTAATGTGACCAGCCATTGCTGCAATGTGTATTGGCTGAATATTGTCCTACAAATATTATAGATCTATGACATAAGTGATTGCATTATGAAAGTATTACCTCACATACAGTAGTTGGGTCAATTTTATACTCCTCAACTAATAGCTTCAACACATCCAGTTGATTATGTGCCGAAGCCAAATGTATAAGATCAAACTTGGTATTCTTTAGAGCATTATTATACATACATACATATTCAGTTAGATCTAAGTAGTGATCAGTCCAGTTCCTACCTTAAGAAAAACGTTTGGGCTGACTTCCTTTCCCAGTAAATATTTCACCACTTCAAGGTGTCCCCTGCTAGTAGCAATATGAATAGCTTGAAACCCATTGCAGTTGGTGACATTTGAGGGTACTGTTTCATTTTCAATGAACCTCTGAATCCTTTCTATCTCACCTTTCTCCACTGCTTCGAAAAAAGAGTCAATCTCAGAGTCAGACCTCTTCTCAGACATAGCATCGATGCGGGATCGGAGCCTTCGGAGGCACACCCACAAATATGATTAGATAATCCACACCCAAGAGCTCTGGTCTACACCCATTCAGTGGCATTCACCCAACCGCACCCAACAACCAAACAAAAGCTAAGATAAAAGTATGGACAGGACAATAAGTAAGAAAAATTTAAGCCTTTAAGTTTAATAATAATTTTTGTCAAGGCTTCGATGAAATTCAAGATGTTTTTCGTCTTATCAGAAGTGTGAAAGATAAATGGGAGAGCATTGGAGCTGGGTTTGGAATCGACCCTTCTACCTTAAGCAAGGTTAAGGAAGATGAACATGACGTAAAAGACAAGTGTCTCTATGCTACTTTGAATATCTGGTTGCATGGAAAATCTAGCAGCAATTTTCATAGTTGGAGAACATTGTTAAAAGTGTTGAAATCTGAAGATGTGAATGAGGGCACTCTTGCTGAGTCAATCATGGCTAAGAAAGGTGTGTACAGCTGTAATTATTATTTAGTGTATATTTTAGCTGGAAAAACAGGGTTTCAAAGAGGTCCAAGTCTGGTAAGATGTGGCCTGACTACTCCAAATCATGAATTATCGTCACATGAAGAGCAGAGTAAGGATTTCATAGCATGCACAGTACATGTACATGGAATCTTAGAGCGTTTCAGTATGACGTAACAGCATGCATAATAATTACTTTTGTGTGGCAAAAAGGCTACTTTGTCATTCACGGGAGCAGATATGAGTTTTATGAATAGCATCACTCCTCTTTTGATTTTTACCAATGTGCAGGCTAGTTTTAGTTAGAAAATGAGATGGCTTTTGTTAGTAATAGTTAGTTATAGAAATTTTTGATTTTAGTTACTTTCATGAATCTAAAAAAATTTAGTTAGTAATAGTTAATTACCTAGAAGTAATCTGGCCTAACTAAAAGGGTTTTAGTTTTAGTTGTAGTTAACTAAAACAACTCTATAGTGCAGGCTGTACCTTTTTTACAAGCCCATGTTATTCTGATGTGCTAATTTTACTGAGATTAGAGTTGCTGCATGTAATGTAGCAAAAATTAAGCTAAAATACTTTTACAACAAAAAATGAATAAAACATGTAACCTCATCTACATACATGTATTATACATGTCTTACATACATTGTAATTACAAAATACACCATCAAATGACTGTAACAGGAATAATAAGGGCTTAAATTCAATCACCCCCCTCAATACGTACTTTATACCGGTTTATTTTTATGGTAAAATATTTTCGAGAATTTTGTTAGTTTGTGATCATTTGCAAAAAGTTTTACCGCAAAATTATGCTCTCCATTGCCACATGGTGCAGTCTGCAAGCATTTGCAAAAATTAATTTCGCAAAATCTTAGATATGCAAGATTTGTGAAAATTTTCCACCGCAAAAATAAACTGGCATATAGTAACTGTTGTGCTATCAGTGTAGGTCCCTTGTTAATGCCATGATTGTTGTTATATATTTTATCATTTTATGGTATGCTTTTATGGAAAGTTATGATGTTACTTATCTATCATACTCAATATAACTATTGAGTATGATAGACAACTTTCCACCATATGTGTACTGTGTAAAGCAAAAGGAAATTTAAAGTGCTGCATGCAGCCTTTAAATGAGTAATTACTATGTGATATCAAGCAATAATTTGTACCACCATGGATATTATACAAATATTTGCATAACTGGACAAATTAATTTATTGAAATTTTTCTAGACATATGGTATAAAATTTTGGAACTATAAACTAATGCATGTGCATAGTTTTTAATTTGAGACTGAGCCTGTAATAGGCACTGACATATGTTGCTACAATAGTGTATCCCATTTTGCAAACCATGGGTGGTTGGCTACCTTGTCCCACTGAACCCTTTGGTATACATGTATAACTATAATTAGACAATGTTGGAAGCACATACAATATGCCATTCATTGTATTCTGTTCTTATTTTGATGAAAATTTTTCCCTCAAATAATAGCTCTGATGCTAGATAATTTTGTTAAAAGTCAATACCATGCACCCAGAAATAGTAGATTTATCACCAATCTGTCAATCTGCCAATTTTAATTCCCTATCAAAATTTTGGCTATACAGTAGTAGTATAATTATTCTAATGTTGGATTTATAATTGCAACATAGATCATTGTGTTATAAAGTTAGCATTAATTGGCACAAAAAAGACAATATTTATACTGTTTTTGGCTAGTGTCATAATGCACTAGACAATGTTATTTTCACTGTCTTGAAGTAATGCATGTACATTGCAATTATATTAATTGTAATTTTATCTTTTAGGATCAGCAGTTATACTTACCTTGAATCATCTGCCATTTCTTTTGGAGCATCTTGAATGTGTTGCTTCAAAGTGGAAACAAATTGGTGTTTACTTAAACATTCCACAAGGTCATCTTGACAATATAATAAGTACACCTACTCTTTTGTCAGGTGGTCCTGTAAGTTTCTTACATGAATTACTAACCTATTGGCTAAGGCAAAGCAATCCAAATGCAGATAAGCTCTTGACTGCTCTGAAAAAAACTGGAGAGCATCAACTCTCTTGTACTTTAAAGAAATTTTTTGATCTTGGAAATCACAATGCAGGTATGTGACGTTATAGACCTTTTCACGATACGCGACTGATGGAATGTTAATGAGATGTAAATTGTATTCATGATTGGGTGCAATCACTGGGAGGAAGTGCAGTGCATGCTACCTTAGCATAGATATACTGAGAATGAGCCAATATTTACAGCATTTCAAAAAGATACATGAAACAGGTAAGATTATTAGGAGTAGCAGATGATCCTTATAATTATACCGTAGGATGATTAATATTCACGACTGCTAATAAAAAACAAATAAAGAAGTTTAATTAAATACCATGGAAACCTATTGAGTGTTGCTATGACAATTAACCATGTCGGGCTTGTGTTTATACAACTACAGTATTCAGCAGGCTATTCTTTTAGCAGCTTTAATGGAACCATCCAGACTCCAGTTCTCTAATCTCTATATGGATCGCTACCTTCAAGCTCTTTGCTGCAAAATTAGTGCTGGTCAGTCGGTCATGATTATAAAGCACACCCAAGTCAATAAACTGGTTAACCCTAACTAACTATAGAATGGGTGGAGACTCCCATAAAGACGTGGCTGTACGGCAAGACAGAGTGAGTAGTGAATTTCTAAAAAGAACTGGCTAAAACAGCTTCAAAGAGACCAAGGATTAGTAATAGCAAGAAGAATAACAACTCAAGAACACTGCAGCTTTGTGCTGTGCTTCAATACCGCACCATTTTCAATTAAAATAGCATCCGGTCGCCATGGCAATTACTAGCAGCGGAAAAATTTGCAAATATTAGCAGTCGCGAATTTTGACCTCAAGTTGTTGGCATATGTTTGGGTACTGTATCAAAAGGCCAGGTGTTTTACACAAGAGGAACTACTAGACGAAAAGAGCCTGCAGGCTTATAATTTTTCCAGAGTGGTTTTGTTTGTACTGTAATATTACATATCCTGAAGCTCTTTTTTGGCTGCCAGTGCTATTGTCTCACAGCTGCTGTCCATCTTTTACAGTATTCCTCATCATTTAGATGGAATCTAAAGAATTTTAATTCCTTTTTCTTGCCTAACTAGTTATTACATTTAATTTCACTCCAGTTTTTAGGCATCTCAACCAGAGACACTGCTATAATCTTTTCCTCGGTGGGTGTAGCCTCAGTGCACCCTATTGTGAATACAATTTACATCTCGTTAAAATTCCACAAGTCACGTATTGTGAAAAGGTCTACACTCTACAGTAGCTATAAAATATGCTTTAATTTTTATAGCTATAAATAATGCAAGTCATTCTGTGATGAAAACTTCACTAGAACCATATTTATTGGAGCAATATGTCAGAAGTCTTTACAAAAACCAAACAATTGATGGGCAACAGCATCAATGGCCACCCACATTGGAAGTGGAATACATTAATTTGGTCCTTATTACACAGGAAAATGTGTTACAGCATGCACATCAGAAAGCTTTGATACAAAAAAGTGGGGATATTACATTCATCACAGAACAAGATGAATTTCGAGGGAAGTGCCTTGCTTTTGAAGATATAATGAATTATGAATGCAATCGAAAAAAGGTCATTATTATTGAAGGATGTCCAGGTATTGGAAAAACTACTCTTGCAAGCAAGCTCTGTCAAGAATGGTCAGAAAAAAGACAGATGTTGGAATTTAAGCTACTACTCTATATACCTTTGCGTTCTCCTTTAATGAGGACAGCTCAATCCATTGATGAACTTTTAGAGTATTATGGTGATAATTATACCAGTAATGATGTTCTTCTCATTAAAAAAAATCAAGGTAGAGATGTTGTTTTTATTTTAGATGGGTGGGATGAATTGCGGCCTTCTTGTCGAAGCATTGACATGTTTTTTCCAGGCCTAATTTATGGAAAATTTTTACCAGAGTCTACTATTGTAGTGACATCTCGTCCAGGAGCCACTATTGACATTAGAAGGCATGCTAACAGAATTGTGGAAATTTTGGGTTTTACAGAAGATCAAATTAAACAATACATAATGTCATATTTTAAGACCAATGAAAAAGCTGGCCAAAAGCTGGTAGAAGATTTAAAATCGTATCCCAATGTTGCTAGTACCTGTTATGTGGCTATAAATTTGACAATAGTTTGCTATGTTTATCATGTTAGTGATCATCAATTGCCATCTACTCTTACTGAAGTATATGAGCTTTTTATTATTCATACTTTGAAGCGTCACTTTAAACGATTGTCTGATTCTAATGAAATTGATCTAGAAACCATTGGAGATTGTGACAAATCGGTAAATGGAATAATAAAAGTTTTGGCAAACATGGCACTAAAAAGTCTGCAAAATAATGACCTTAGTTTTACAAAGCAGGAACTAATAAATGCAGTAGGTGTTGTTGATGAAGAAGAGGCTCTTTTTGATGGCTTTGGCTTGCTCAAGAATGTAATTGCTTTTGAGAAGAGTGGAACAAAATCATACTATCACTTCCTTCACTTGACAATTCATGAATTCCTTGCAGCTTATAGTGTCTCTTTGATGACTGATACAAATCGATGGGACTGGTTGACGAAATATTTGCGAGATGAGAGATTTGAAATGGTTTTAAAATTTTACTGTGGCATGGACAAATTTCAGTCACATTCTACTCGCATTCTTTTCTCTACTCAGAATATATATGGTGTCCCATTTACACTGGAATGCATATATGAAGGGCAATGGAGAGATGGCTGTAAAAATGTAGCCAAACAAACATCAAGCTCTTTATCCATTGTTCGACCAATTCAACCTTACAGAGCTCTTGTCTATGGCTATATAATGGCAACTTCAGAGAGCCAATGGGAACTTCACTGGTGTAATAATGCCTTTGGAGAGCAAGAACTAAGGTGTCTTAGACGTTATCTTGTTTGTGCTCCACTTACTTTAGCTAAAATTGTCTTAATAAATAATACAGCACTGTCAAGCAATATTATTGACTCACTATCTGAGATTCTTAAGTCTCAGAAGGAACTTACTTACGTTGCTATTAATAATTGCCACCTTCATGATAGCTTTGTTAAAGAGATTTGCAGATCTATTCGTGGTCTACAATTCATTCAAGTCCTTGAAATAGTTAAAAATGATAAACTCCCGATCAAAGATCTTTGTGCCATGCTTCATACTTTGCCATCACTCCAACAGCTAAAACTCTATGGTAATAATATTGATAAAGTTGGCCAGGATGAAGTGATGTTTGCTGTTTCTGAAGAAACTGAAGTTATATTTCACTGCTAAAAAGATACAAATTTTAGACTGCCAATAAATCTTAATTTTTCAAACTCTGCTTTGTATATGCAAAATTAAAAGTTATATTTTATTTATATAAAAAAAATGAATTTTACAAAACCCAAAGTAATCAAAGATTTACAAAATTATAGTTTGAGTCTTTCTGCAAGTGAGTACATAGTTTTTTTTTAAGAGTCTCTCTAACTAAGAAAAATCTGGAATATATATACTGTTTCTTGCTACCATGCAGTCAACCCATGAAAGTAACTTTTATCCCTATTGTACACTACAGACTCAATCCCAAACCCACAAAATTAAAATTTTTACGTTCTTTCATTAACCAAATACTTGAGCATAATAAACTACTACTTATATACTATCCACCAGATTTCCTTATAGTCCATACATTTGCTGATCCTCATTTAGTGTCATTGGATGGGACACAATATACATTCAATGGTCATGGTGAATTTATTATAGTACAATCACTCAATGGTTCACTAATGGTTCAAGCAAGAATGACGGAACCACTATCAACTAGTGACAGTAATGAGACTCTCATTGGTAGTGGGACACAGTCATTACTGCAATAGCAGCTAAACACAATGAATCAGACAGTGTCCGGTTTGAGGTTGTTAACAATCAACTGATAGTGTTAGTGAATGGAGACAAAATTGATTTCTCGGAAGTAGCTGAGCAATATTTTAAGAACTTAACAGTCCTGGATAAAGGAAATGATACAATTTCAGCTACAATAGCCAATAGAATAACAATAACTGTTACAGAGAATGTCAATATGTTAGCTAATGTATCGGTTACTCTTTCAGATAGTTACTATGGGAGCACTGTTGGTTTATTGGGTCTGTATAATGGTAAACCAGAGGATGATCTGCTATCAAGAAATGGAAACACAACTCTACCCTCTAATGCCAGCACTGAAGAGATTCATTATGAGTTTGGACTAACGTGTAAGTAAAATTTATGTTTGCATAATTTCATTGCTCATGCAGGGATTATTGCAAACCCTCATGATAGTCTTGTCACTTATGATGAATTTGGTAGTTGGAGCACATTTTATAGACCAGAGTACAAACCAATATTTGAGCCACAATTTAATGACTCAACACTTGAAGAAGAAGCTCAAGAGGTACATATGTGTATACAGTATTAATTGAAATATCAAATGATGCATCATTACAATAACTAGATATGTGGTAATAACAAGCTTTGTTTAATTGTTTGATATTGCTGCTACTGGTGATGTGAATATTGGACAGTCAACAAAAGAAACTGGAAAGGATTTAACTGTTTTTGCTGAACTTTTGAAGCCTAGTAAGATACATTGTAACAATTGAATAGATAAAATAACAATATCTTGTTAGTTGTACTTGTTTGTGATCCTCCTTACATATATGGGGCTTGTATGGGCAAAAGTACATGCTTTTGCTCAGAAGGATATAATGAAACTATGTGCAATGAAACTAGTAAGAATATTATGTTACTGTTGTAACTTATTGTTATAATTCATTGATAATGTAGCAATACAGAACTGTCAGGAAAATTTTGTCTTAACGATGCTACATGTCAAATTGTAGCTGGGAATTATTTGTGTATATGTTCTAATGGTTTCACTGGACCAAACTGTGGTAGGTATTAATTATGTACATGCATGCACAGTATTAACAAGTGGTATATATTATTGTGATTTTCATGAATAATAATAATTGATATTAGGAAATTTTACATTTTAGGTACTAACATTTTTTCCAGCAGTTTTCTTCCAATGAGTTCAGGCTCTTCTTCCCTAGGACACAATGAAGCAGGTTCAGCTATTAGTCAAAATGTTATGATTGGATTAGCAGTTTGTGTTATGGTCCTTGTCATTAGAATTATAGCTGTAGTAGTTTGTTTGTGTGTCTTGAAAAAGATGATAGTAAAGGGGAGTGAAGAAGACAATCAATTAGTAAATGAGAAGTATGAACTGAAGTGATTGTTCCTATTTTATTAATTTTAGCTATAGTTTAGACTGTTATGCATCATGGTTAGTATTGTATTCCTAATTCACTATGAAAACAACATAAAGCATTAATTGTGTGGACAATTTGACCCTATTATGCAAGTTTTGCTTTGAAGTTGACACAAAATTGGCCAATTTTAATTCTGTGTATTGTGATTTGCGGTGACTTTAATCCTTCCTTTTGTGTTACACTTAAATATGATGCCAATTAAAACAGGCAAATTTATTCAATTCTTATTGCAAAATAAATTGTCTACAACATTTGGTACATTTAGAGGCTGCACTGTTAATTCTGAGGATCATGTATATTAAGTTGTGAGAAAAATTTTATTTTATAACGTAAGTTTATGAACAAACTTAAACACTACACAACTACATCTAAAAATATTATTTATCCCTAATGTTAGTAGCAATATGATGTTTTCCTTCTTTATCCAGTGCTGTAGCTAATGATGACCAACTGGGACCTCCTTTCTCTCTCACTTTATCTTTTCCTCTTAACCAGGCAGACATACACTGTCTGAAGTACTTCTTAGAGTCTCCATTATTATCTTCATTATTGTCTTCTAGTGTAGGCTGATACAGTCCTAGCTGAAGACCAAGATCATGCCATATATGGCGAGGTAAATAATTGAGTATTGTGCCTTTCTTTCTGTTTGGATGACTAAAATAAATCAATAATATATAAATAAATACAAATAAAATTCGTTCCTCCTTCATAACGCATTAAAAGTACCCTCTATTTTGGTGGATGAATCAAGTTAATCATTATAAACATGCATGTACCATATAGCAGCAAAAATTGGCTTGTTGATTAGCAAATTAATGATAAAATAGTAATCAAAAACTCTGCTGTACTCAATTTGCAAGTACAAAAACCACAAATACATTGCAATTATAGAATTGCCAAATTTTCTTGCTATACAATAGGTATCAGGCTTGACTTACACTTTTAACAAGCTCTGTTGCCTGAGTATGAGTGTCAGCTCCCTAAAGGAAAAAAGGAGATACAAATAGGAAGGAAGATAATATACAGGTATGAGGTATGTACAACAAGCTCACATCCCATCCTTATATCATAGCCTGCACATCGATTAACTTGTTAAAGCACCCATATTTTTTTCTATTCTGTAATAATTCAATGTTCACTAAAGCAATTACAAATGAACTGGCCTAGTATACAATATTACTTTATTACACATGTACATGCTAATAATAAGATCAAAGTAACCACAAATTTACTTTCAATGAAGTTTAATAGTGGATGGTGAGCTTACACTTTGAAATCTGCTCCTGTACCATGGGTTTCCCACAAAGCATGCTAAGTGAGCTAAACAGCATGCTTCATGAGCATACAAGCAATGCAATATCTAGAACATGGCTTTTTGAGGTACTTTAAAAACGTAAGACAGACAACCAAGAGAGTTCACATGAGACCTGAGAGGATGTCACTGTAGATGTATTTTATGTACAGGAGTGTAGATCTATTCATTAAATACATTTTTGATGGGGTAGTTGCAGTTGCTTTAGTCTTTCAGTAAAATATTCATCAATAGATCTATATTATAGTTTTTATGCTCAGGATCACCTTAATAACCAGCCCAGTGAGCCCACACTTCTCCTCCCTGTATATAATCACCATGCTCCAGTATTCATGATGCCACACATTAAGTTACACAATTCAGGAATGATATCTAGATATCCACTGCCTTACTGTAACATCTTACACAAAAATTGAACTAATATCTTGAAGAGGTAGTGAAGTTTTTGAGCTGTTGTAAAAGATGTAAATAATAAGGTGAAGGGGAGAGGAAATAGAAAGGATGATAGGCTCACTTACTGACCTATAGCCTCAGCAATCTGCTTAATATTTATAGAAACTAGGAGTAATGTAGAACATTGAGGGGCGAGCCTGAGTATGCACACACAATTAGATATCATTAGTTCTATGAGCTCTAGCTGCGACTCTTCTCATAGCCAGCCTGGCTTCTCTCGCTTCAGGAGTCTCTGCGGCCATTCTTTGGCTGTAGAGCTCCCTACAACGACTCTTACGAGCTTCTTCTTGATTCATTTCTATGACTTCACTGTAAAAATGCTGCCACGTGAAAAATTGTTAATTTTTGTTGCAAGCATGGTTATATTGGCTCGTGTGCATGCACGTGAGCATAATCATAGTTAGAGTATTTAACATTAATAATAGTTAGACGATCCTACTGCCCGTACAGACAGACAGACAGACGTTTTCTCGCCTTAGTGGGGCGAGTTATAGTTCCTGATCAGTTGGTAGATTATTTGTTGGTAACTTGTTGAGTGCTATAATCTTTATATAGTAGTACTCTTGTGATGTCAGTAATG